AAAATTAATTTATTTTTGTTTAGATCAAGTTAACCGGGTACATGTTACCATGGAAACAAAAAACAAACGTCTGATTAAATGTAAATTTATTTAATAAGCGTTTAAAGCTATCTTTCGGAAGATTAATGAGGCCAAACTATCGATAATATACTAATGATAACCGAAGCGAAAATTTCAACAAATGTGTCGTCGGGATAATATACAAAGTGAACGTAAATTATGAAACATTAAGCAAAGTCTATACAAATGAAATTTAAAAAATCCGGGGACATGTGAAACTTAATTTGGAAAAGCTCACATTATAAGTTAAAAATATGTTAATGAACTCTCATGAATGTCGTAAATATGAGATCAAACGAGTTGCGTAAAATTAAAGTATGAATTAAAAAAAGTTTTTATAAGTTACCCCATCATTTCCTTTAGCAAATATATTTCTCCCTTTTTAAATATTTTCTGTAAAACGGTATTTTTCTCGTATTGTTTTATCTATTATTGTCTCTAACAAAAAGTAAAAATACCAAGTGATAAATTCCAAGTATGGCTGCTGGTAGACTTTAGTTGTATTTTTAATACATTTCGACAATGGTGCATTTAAGAGAAACTCGAAATAATCGAGATGAAGCGTGAATAGTTTAACGATAAGTACCCTAATTACTATTACGAGATCAACCAACCCTAAGATACATAGCAAATTTAGGACCTTGAGTCATGTTAGAGATTATTCTAAACGAGGCCGACCGCCAGTCTCAAAATAATCAAAATTTTAACTTTTATTAACATTGGATAAGGGAGGGGATAAAGGAAAATATTTTTATCAAATCGTCAGATTGCAATGTAGCAGAACAAACCGCGTTCATACAAATTTTAGTTGGTGTAAGAACTTAATCAGAACGATTTTTGCCGAAGAGTGGAATTTTGTGAAACAGTAATGAACGATGTAAGCAAGTGCAGATTTCGAGGTGTGCTAACCTCAGGCACCTCCAGGACCGGTTTCGACCTGGGAATCCATCTATTGCGTCATATATGACAGCAGGGCCAGCGGCGAAGGGTCCCGCGTGTGGGGCGTGTCCGGTATAATACCGGAAGTTGGTATACATACATCGTTGAGTTCAGAAAAAAAAGGCTTACAATTTGCTGTTAAACAGACATAGTCGTATTTGAAAAAAACAAAGTTGATGATGGTTTCTTGGGGGCAAAATGTCGAAGCATGAAACTAATAAGCATGAAGTTTATTTCTATTAAAGGATAGTCAATTAAATTGCATTTGGAGATTTTCATCTTTAATTTGAACAAAACAATAAACGACTTACTGTAGATCAAATATTGTATAGTTTATAATAAAAACATTTTCACATTTTGTATAATTAACGAGTCTTCGTTCTGGCGCAAACAAAAATTATAAGAATCTAAACAGTCTGAGCTCTAATACAAAGTTTGATCAAATGATTTAAAAAAAGATGTGTAAATGGGAGCAGTTTGTGAACCACCTATAGAAAATGTACCAAACCTTATATTAATATTATCAGTTCAACGCATAATTTGCTAAAATTCCTTTCTATTTGCGAATATATTTGTTTGTACGGCACCAAAAATATTTTTATATGTAAAGCGTTACAATAAATGAGGACTATAAAGCATTCAAGAACAGTTTATCAACAGTAACAAGGTGTCCAATTAATCCAACCTAAGTGTCATTTAAAATATCTCATTAATCATCTCCGAGAATTTACACATTTTACACTATGTTTGAGTACCGACATAGCTAATTTTTTTAACAAAAATAACGTATTTATCTGGCCTGCTAATATCTGGTACTGCCTTGCCTTATATGATAAAAGATGTAAATAACAATTGTACAATAATTACGTTAGGACATACAACATAAAACATCTGCCGAACATTCATGTGTGTTTACACCAATGAGAATCCCTCAGTCTGCTGAATGGCTTGCATTAGTTTATATTTTAGGCGTTCTTTGGTTTTATACCTGGGCAAATCGAGGAGATTGAAACACGTATGGGCCACAGGAAGGAATTTGTCATCATTGGTTGGTTGTATGGTAATCTAGAAATTAAAGTAATTTATATATCTTGGCAATTAGTGTCCTATTAAGGGCACTTACTACTGCTTATTACCACTATCTATGACACCACTCAAATGAAGAACCAGGAAAATTTTGATTAAAAAACATTATATGATTTTAATAAATACACATTTATAAGGAAATAGCAAATTTTGGCACAATTTATTATTTTTTATTATTCTGGGGTGAGCATCTATTTCATCCCAGAATGTGTTTTCTACTATTTGAAGTGCCAAGTTATAATCTTATATATAGTTATGAAAACCTGAACTTTTGTATAAGCTTGTTTATATTTTCGCAGGTGTAGATTATTTTTGTAGTTTTGTTACAACACAAAATACAAATAGAAACAAAAATAAATAATTTATTTCAAATCACAAATGACAAGCACATAACAAAAAAATACCTTTTTGTTAACATACGTTTTTAAGAATCGATTTAAAAGGAGTTACCTTATTTTCAGAATAAATCATGTATAAAGTAGCATTCAAATCCGAAAATAGTCGAATGTTTTCGAAAGGGTTAGTTTTTCAGTTAATTTTAATGCCTTAATTCTACTTCTCCATAAACTATTGGATTGAAAGTAATGCAATAACACTTAATTCCAAAACAGCTAAAGCTAGGCATGTGTAACTCGAGGAGTTGGCGCATTGATGCCGGAACCACCATACGATAAATAAATAACGATAAAATAATATATTGACTCATACGATAAATGTGTTGGTATATCACAGAAGACTGTTTGATACGTGATCACGTGTAATGCTGTCGAATAGCAATGCCGTCTTTCCTCCCATACCAGTCTCGTCAGTCTGTCATCTCGTAGTCTATGGACATGCCCGTGTCATCTTAGGCGCTGGGAGCTAGGACTTAATTTCTTTGGCAAGATCCCCGGCGCCAAAAATATGATTAATCTCGACGTTTCTCCTGATGCAATACTTGTTGATCTTAGGGTCGTTGTGGCGACCAAAAAGTTCTTAGTCATTGTCCATGTCTCGCATCCATAAGCCGATTTTTGGTCTTATAATGCTTTTATAGACTCTCACTTTTGAGGTTCTTGAGATGCTTTTGGAATTGAAAAGTTGTTTAAAGAGAACAGACATCGATTTGCGGCTTGAATCACGCCTTTTCTTTTCTCTGTGACATCATTATCGGCTGTAAGTGTAGCTCATAGATATTTGAAACGCTCCACTCGTTCAAAAAAGTGTCAAGTTGTTACATTCTGCCCTATTCTATTGATTGAAGAAATGAAGATACCTTTTACTGTTGGTATGGAGTCTCCAATGATGTCAATGGCATCTGCATATGCTAACAATAATTTCCGGACTCATGCAGTCAAGGATTCCTTTTTGAAATTCTGCCGGCCCTCTAGTAGCTTTCTCTAGGATGATATTGAAGAGTATGGATGACAAGGCATCTCCCTGTTTTAATCCGCTACGTATTTCAAAACGATCTGCGAGCCTGTTATTTATTCGCACTCTGGGTTTTCCGTTTTGACGTTCTTCGTCATCTGGATGAATTTTCTTGTGCTTGCGAATTCGGCCATTGCATTCCACACTTCAGATCTTTCTATTCTGTCGCATGCTGTCCGAAAATCCATGAATAGATTATGGACAATACGGTTGAACTCCCATCCTTTCTCTAGTACACTGCCTGTGCAAAAAGTTGGTCCATAGTGAATCTAAATTTCCTGAAACCCGCCTGATATTCCTCCAGGACGCCTTCTGAGTATGGGGTTAGTCTATCCACAACAATATTGGCCATGAATTTGTATGCCGTATTGGTAAGTGAGATTCCTTTGTAGATTGAGCACTTTGACTTGTCAGCTTTTTTCTGGATTGGTACTGATGTCTTTTTACCATTTTTTTGGTATCGTCCCCTCTTTTCATATCCAAAAAAATAGTTGGTGTAATTGTCTGTATAACGATTCACCTCCGTACTAACGGTACGTTATCCGAACCAGGAAGGAACCTTTGAGCCTTTGTTCAATAATTATCAGCTTTTCAAAGTGGTTTTTCCATGTTTCCAACTGTTCGCTTTTCAACATCGGGACCGACATGGTCTGAAATGTTCCTTTTTTTGTTTTTATTACCCTAGAAAATTACCTAGAAGCTGGTTTAGACCTGTCCCTTTCCCTCATCTCGTATTTTCGACGT